GTGGTGGCCCCTCAGTTGTGGAACTCCCTCCCTAGCGATATTAGATCAGTCTCCCCCCTCCTAGACTTCAGAAGGAGAGTAAAAACCTAGCTCTGGGAGCAGGATTTTGAAAATAGTGCAGTGCAGTAATTTTAATGTGGAATATTTGCAATTGATTACGGAATGACCTTAGACTCTGATCCCTGGATGGTGTGTTTTAAACATTGAATGTATTTTAATTATGTTTAATATGTTAGTACTTTTAATCCAATTTAGTTTTAAGTTAACATTGTATGTTTTGAGGCACTGTGCAGGTGCCACTTGTAAGCCACCTTGAGTCCCCCTTGGGGTAGAGAAAGGCAAAATATAAATAAAGTAATTAAATAGACTACTGTTTTGAAATATAAATTTCCATGTAAAAATGTTCCCGGAATCATGCATTTCAGGGTATATTTAATGATTTCCTGAACTATTCATTATGTTTCATACAAATTCGTTTTATTGATTATCTGCTTTATTAATTTTTATTGCAGAGTAAAAAAGCTGAGAAAAAGTCTGGATCCAAAAAAGCCTCTGACTTGAATAAAGTGAAGGAACATGGTGTACTCTTTGAATGTTCTGCTGACAACTGGACTGATAAAAAGAAACCCCCACCAAGTATAATGTACTGGGTTGTAGGGTATGTGAATGATGTCTGATTTATTTTCCTGCCGATGTGTTGTACCGTGCTAAAAATCCTCAACACCACCTTTCCGTAGTGTTATAATTCAGCAAACACTTCTTGTACAAGGGATACTTAGTCTTCACATTCCAACCATCTATTTTAGTATACCTTTTGTTTCAAAACAGTACTAAAATGTAGTAAAAGCTTTAAATACAGTTAGTGATTTAAAGCTGTCTTTAAATACAGTTAGCCAAAAAAAAAAATGAAATGCCTTCTCTAGACTTTTGTCAGTTTTGACATCTGTATAGCGCTATTTTTAGTTCTTTTGCAAGCCATTATAAAAATAGACTGGTTTTAGAATTGTCTAAAAACCTTGTTCTAACACTGAGATTTGTTATTATTGTTTTTCCTACAGGAGACTTTTCCTAGATCCAAAACCTCGAGAGTTTTATGTCTGCTTTCATGACTCAGTCACAGAGATTGCTGTTGAATTGGCATTCAAGCTATCCTTTGGCTTAGCACTGTAGATGGGTTTAGCTGTACAGCCATTGGAAAGGGAGCTCTAAAATTTCCAAGGAAATCAATTGTGCATATATCCTTCAAGACCTCAACCAAGGGAATGTAATGTTCCATGCAACATGTAATAGACTAGGATCTTTGTGGCACATTTGGAATCCTGGGGATAAAAGTTCAATCGGGAGGGGAAATGTGAGATATTATTTCTTCTCAGGTTATCTTATATACTAAAGGAGTGACTACCTTACTTTAAAGGGCTAAAATACTTTGTAATACAAAATAATACTGTATATACTTATGTAAATTTTAAAATATTACTTGTTATAAAGTAAAGTTGAATGAGGCAAAGAAAGGGAGGGATTTACCATTTTGTTTTAGAAACCTGTTTGTAAACTATTTTTGTATTTTTTTACAATAAAGGCACATGTTTGCAAAACAACAGTGTGTGTTTTGTATTTTATATTCTCAAACATCTTAATGATTTTTAATTATATATCTATAACATCCTATTCAATATTGTGTTGTTGGCAGATATGTTGCCTACTTTATTCAAAACTGTCCATGTAATACCTGTAATTCTTCCAGTTCCCCACATGCAGTCATGGTCTCTATTATTATAATACATAAAATATGTCAAATGCAGGGCTGCAGGAAGGGAGAACCCATGCAAATTACCAGACCCTGGAGGTCTGAAGGATTTATTTGTTTTGTTTTGTTTTTTGAGGGGTTTTTTTTGCAACCCAGCTGCATGGTTCTCAAGAAATTCTGTATAAACCATGTATGTATGTACATTTTTATTACATTTATACTCTGTCTCTCTCACCCTGAAGGAGACTCAAAGCGGCTTACAAGTAGGCAACAATTCGATGTCACATAAATATACATACAATAAAATAAATATATACACTAAAAACCAAAAAATTAAAAACATCTCAGCCTTAAAACTAATTATTAAAAACCACGAAATCCAAAATTATACTCCAGGAGCCAATCCAGTCATAATTGCACTATTCTGTATTCACTTATTCACTGAAAATTACTGTCCAAAAGTTTGGCCCCACATCCACATTTTGAATTTCTTTCTAAAAGTCAGGAGGGAGGGTGCTGATCTAATTTCACTGGGGAGGGAGTTCCACAGCCAAGAGGCCACCACTGAGAAGGCCCTGTCTCTTGTCCCCACCAGTCACACCTGCGAAGGAGGTGGGACCAAGAGCAGGGCCTCCCCAGAAGATCTTAACCTCCGAGGTGGTTCATAGAGGGAGATACGTTCAAACAGGTAAACTGGACCGGAACCATTTAGGGCTTTATAGGCTAAAGCCAGCACTTTGAATTCTGCTCGGTAGCAAAATGGCAGCCGGTGGAGTCGGCATAACAAGGGAGTTGTGTGCTCCTTGTAGGCCACTCCAGTGAGGAGTCTGGCTGCCGTCTGTTGCACCACTTGAAGCTTCCAAACAGTCTCCAAAGGCAACTCTATGTAGAGCACGTTGCAGTAGTCTATTCGGGATGTCTCAAGAGCATGGACCACCAAGTCCATGTCTGGCTTCTCAAGGTATGGGCACAACTGGCAACAAGTTTTAATTGTACAAAAGCTCCCCTGGCCACTGCCAAGACTTGAGGTTCCAGGCTCAGCGATGAGTCCAGGATCACTCCCAAGCTGTGAACCTGTGTCTTCAGGGGGAGTGTAACCCCATACACCACAGGCTGTAACCCTCTACCCTGTTCGACCTTCCGACTGACCAGGAGTGCTTCTGTCTTGTCTGGATTCAATTTCAATTTGTTCGTCCTCATCCAGATCGTCACAGCTGCCAAGCACCGGTTCAGGACCTGAACAGCCTCCTTAGCCTATTTCCCCAGATATGTACATAAGTTGCTACTTTAATTGACTTTATGGGAGGGCACAAAAGCAGCTTAAGAGTAGATTTGGTAAAGTTGGAAAATTACCTTTCTGTGCTGGTTGCAAATATTTGTCCACATTCTGTGTTTCAAAATTCTCACTTTACACTTTAAAAATTATTACTTAATCTTGGAGTCATTTTTAAGATGTTTGAAGCATTCAATAAATGTCTGATGGGAATCTCATTATAGATGTGTTTCCGTGTTAGCAATGCAAATAGTTCTATATTGTTTAAAAATCTCCATGGCATACCTAAATAATATGTCCAATGATCTCTCTTGTAATGTGGGGGGTGGGATGGGATTTGTGATACCGGTGTATTGATGATTGCTTATTAGTTATTAAGGGAAATGTGTAATTTAACTGTTATTGTATATTAGTTATTGCTGTTTTTATTGTCTTTGCTGTTTGGAAACCGCTGTGAGTCGCCCTCGGGCTTGAGATACAGCGGTATACAAGAATAGTAAATAAATAATAATAATAATAATGTGACCTAAGATCTAATATGACCTAATAATCCACACCGCCATGCAATATCTTTTCCACAAAATATATGAGAGAGCAAACGCTGAACTGTTTGTGGAACTGGAAAAAAAACTTGCAGAAACTGCTGACTTAGAGCCAGGTCTAAAATAATTTTCTTCTTACAATTCTGTAAAAAACTCATGTGATCTTCCACCAACCAAACATATATTAATGAGATAGTGTTGATCTCAGATGAAGCTGGAATGCCTGTCACTTTAGAGCAGCAATTTTAATCTTGAGGAATATTTTTTTGGTGAGCTGCTTTGGGTCCCACTCTGGGAGAAAGACAAAATACAAAGGCAATAGATAAAAATAACACTTCTACAAAATCTGGGAAAATTAATGTTTGAATGACAGATCCCAGGATCGTGCAACCAGCAGGGATTCTGGAAGTGGCAATCCATAAAAATAATTTTCCAAAGGAGAACGCCTGCACTCAATGAAGGAAGCCACAGCATTGACCATTAATAACTGGGTGTCTAGAGTTACATCTACACCAGGCATGGGCAAACGTCGGCCCTCCAGGTGTTTTGGACTTCAACTCCCACAATTCTTAACAGCCTTGTGGGAGTTGAAATCCAAAACACCTGGAGGGCCGACGTTTGCGCATGCCAGATCTACACTGTAGAATGAAAGAAGATTGATGTCACAACCTTTGAGGATGTCTGCCATAGATGCAGGCGAAATGTCAGGAGAGAATGCTTCTGAAACATTGCCATACAGCCCAAAAAACTTACAGCAACCCAGTGATTCTGGCCATGAAAGCCTTCGACAATACATTAAGTTTGTCACTACTTGAACTGCCATAACTTAGTGCTATGGAATCTAGGACTTGTAGTTTGGTGAGGCATTAACACCCTTGGGAAGAGGTGTTGTAAAACTGGAAATCCCAGGATTCCATAGCATTGGGGCATAGCAATTCAAGTGGCGTCAAACTGCATTAATTCTGTAGAGTGGATGCACCCATAGAGGTACAGATTGAACTACTACAAGTGAAACCTAAGTTCAGAACAGTTAACCACAACTACGGCTGCATCCACACTGTAGAATTGATGCAGTTTGACACCGCTTTAACTGCCATGGCTCATGGGAGTTGCAGTTTGGCCTTGGAAAGAAAAAGAAAAGACCTTGCTTTCCCCTGCCCTGGCTCCTGGTTGCTCATTTGTAGGCCTTAGAGAGCTGCAGCCTTTAGCAACCACTCCTTCTAACATCTAGGGGAACAGAATTTTCTTTGCACAGGGATGTTCTGATTGGACACTTCTGGGTCATGTGCCTTGAGAATGAATGTAACTTCTTCTGGGAGGGGGGAAGAACTCATGAGCTCAGTGGCAGTTAGGAGAGTTGCCTGCTGTTGTGGGATGCAGCTTGGAGGTGGAGGTTCTGCATCTACCAAAGCTTCTGTATCTCAACCTGGTTGGCACCATGCTGGCTGCAGAAGGGCAGCAGCTCTTTGATCCCATCTCTTTTGGGAAGGACCTCATGATTGGCGGGGTGGCGGCCGCGATCTCCAAAACCACAGTCGCACCCATCGAGCGGGTGAAGCTTCTCCTGCAGGTCCAGGGCTCGTCCAAACAGATCCGTGCTGACCAGCAATACAAAGGCATGATTGACTGCTTTGTGCGCATCCCCCGCGAGCAAGGTAGGTCTGAGAGCCATTCTAGTGTGTATCTATCCATAGGCTTAAAGCAGGCATGGGCAAACTTGGGCCCTCCAGGTGTTTTGGACTTCAACTCCCACAATTCCTAACAGCCGGTAGGCTGTTAGGAATTGTGGGAGTTGAAGTCCAAAACACCTGGAGGGCCCAAGTTTGCCCATGCCTAGCCTAAAGTATGAGCTGTTAAAAATCTCACCTGTACCACAAAGACAGAAGTCCTTTGACAAGACAGTGGGTGCATCTACACTGTAGAATTATTGCATTTTGACACCACTTTAACTGCAATGGGTCAGTGCTATGAGATCCTGTGACATGTAGACCCTATCAACACTGAGCAATTAATGCAGTTCAAAGTTAGCTTTGACCAAAAACTCCCATAAAAGCAAAAGAAAGTCATGAATGTGCATCAGTGTTCTGTGGTTTGTGTAACCACCATCTAGGCCTCAAACTCCTCCTAGGATTTCCTATGAAACCATCTGCGCAGCAAAGCCACTTTGCATTCATTGTCAGTGTAGATTGGGCCATAGTTTGATGAGACACCAGCACTCTTTGGCAGAGAACACTAATGACCTTGTAAAACTACATAATATACCAGGATTCCACAACACTGAGGCATGGCAGTTAAACTGGTGTCAAACTACATTAATTCTACAATGTAGATGCACCGTTTCCCCAGCCCAGCAACAACATGGCAATTATTTTATTTATTGTATTTATTGTATTTATTTATTTATTTATTTATTTATTTATGACATTTATATCCAGCCCTTCTCACCCTGAAGGGGACTCTGAGCGGCTTACAAGTTATATGTACATAATAATAATAATAATAGTAATAATAATAATAATAATAATAACTTTATTTGTACCCCGCTCCATCTCCCCGATGGGGACTCGGTGCGACTTACATGAGGCCAAGCCCAAAACAACAATTACAAAAATAAAACAAAACCGAAAACGCAAATAATAAACAATAATAACACAATTACATAAAACAAAAGACAACATAGCAATATAAAATTACAATAAACACAATCACAATAACATGGGCAAGCTATGTAATGGATAAAAGAAAACTGGGTAAAAACAGATTAAAACATACAATATATTATATTATTAGCATAGCATAATATTAGTATTATATATTACTATATTGTACTATTCCACTGTACTGCAATTTTGTTAGTAATGTTACATGAAATATAAAATATATAATTATTATATTATTATATTGTATTATGATATTGCATTAAAATATTATGAGCAAGATTATACTGGGTTGTTGTAAGAAAAGTGTCATGTTCTGTTTGGTTCATATTGTCTCAGTTTCTCGACCAATATGATTCCCATTTCCTTATTGCGAATTCGTCCTCTGATTTTAAGCTGTCGTTCTAAATGATTTACTAAAAAATGTTCTTGGAACGTAGTGAGATAAACCAAGTCAATAAGCTTTAGGACAGAGCTGATGTTGTTTAAGATATAGTAGTAATGTGTGATAGGACAAATAACACATTGCGCCTAAATGCAAAATTGAATTTTAGAGGATTGTAGTGGGACACATATTTACAAGATATTCTGGAAATATTTTAAGATATTCTGAAAAATATTTGATAGGTCATGCTTTGATTTGATGACTATCAAATGGTAAATAATAATATATAACAATAAATTTATTTATACCCTGACACCATCTCCCAAAAAAGGACTCAGGGTGGCTTCCAGAAACACATACAAATGCCATAACACATAAAATAGAGGTACATTTACATCACGTATTAAATAATGATAACATCAGTTAAGATAAAAACAACACATTACAAAAAAAGTTGAATTTAAACATCAATAAAACACAGCACAAATTGCCATAAAAACGAATACAGTAGAATCTCGCTTATCCAACATAAATGGACCAAGAGAATGTTGGATAAGCGAAAATGTTGGATAATAAGGAAGGATTAAGGAAAAGCCTATTAAACATAAAGTTACGTTACGATTTTACAAATTAAGCACCAAAACATCATGTTTTACAACAAATCGACAGAAAAAGCAGTTCAATACACTGTAACGTTATGTAGTAATTACTGTGTTTACGAATTTAGCACCAAAACATTGCAATGTATTGAAACAGCTGTGGATCTGGACAGGAGGCAAACTGCGTTGGATAAGACAGAACGTTGGATGAGTGAAGGTTGGATAAGCCTCCCAGCTACAGCCCAATTCAACCATTAACGTCCTAGCAGATGTCAACACAAAGGATAAATCCTTTGTGTTAAAGTCTGAAATATTTAGTTCTCATTTTAGAATATTCTTCATTATAGAATTAAGAAGTCCCTGATCCCATGACTTTCTTTCCTATTTTTTTTTAAATACAACATAGTGCTGATTTAAGATGGTCAGATTAGAAAAAAAATGATGAGAGCTATAGTTTGTTCTTTAAGTTGAGTGAGATAATGAATTCCTGCCAGCCCATATAAATCACCGTCATATAAATCACCGTATTTCAGAGCTTCAATAAAAATAAGAGTGCATTACAAAAGACCAAACCTTATACAGTATTCTGTATTGACATGTCTTTTATGCTAAGATGCCTTGAAGCACAGAAGCAAATCCTTTTTATTCTCAGTAATAACAATTGCAATGAAGGACATTTATAGGAGAAGTTTAGAAGCCATTGATAGACAACAAGCCTTTCGCATGCACTAATGTGTTGTTAGGCAATGCAGTTTCAGATCAATATTTCCGTCATTTCAGGGTGACACAACAGATTCAAAACATGTCATTGTATGACCAACTTCCCCTTAACAAAAAAAAGGGGGTTTTTTTAAATGTCAGGAGCGACTTGAGAAACTGCAAGTCGCTTCTGGTGTAAGAGAATTGGCCATCTGCAAGGATGTTGCCCAGGGGACGCCTGAATGTGTTACCACCCTGTGGGAGGCTTCTTTCATGTCCCCACATGGGAAGCTGGAACTGACAGACAAAAATTCACCCCGCTCCCCGGATTTGAACCGCCAACCTTTCAGTCAGCAGTCCAGTAGGCACAAGGGTTTAACCCATTGTACCATCAGATGCTCCAAAAAGGAAGCAGTGGAAGCTCTAACTCTTCACCTATTCAGTCAACAATGCAGGAGCATTTATGATAGGGACATGCTAACAAGAGTTACTTCTTGTTGCAAATGGCAAACGTTCAACACCTTTTTCCGGGATTTGGATTAACCATCTTGAACAACTTTACAGTCATTTATTATGGTATAAGCATCTGTGAATGTATCCTGGGAAACAGACTGGCTTCACAGAAGTTTTCACAATAATAAATGTATTATATGCTGCTATAAACACTTTTTTGCTGGTTTAGTTCCAACAGATGAACACACGTAATACCTCTAGAAATTTTCATATTTTGGGAAACTTACAGAAACTTACAGAATACCCCTGGTGGCATAGTGGGTTAAACCTCTGAGCTGCTGAACTTGTTGACCGAAAGATTGACGGTTTTAATCCGGGAAGCAGGGTGAGCTCCCACTGTTAGCCCCAGCTTCTGCCAACCTAGCAGTTCAAAAATATGCAAATGTGAGTAGATACTGCTTCTGCAGGAAGATAACGGCACTCCATGCAGTCATGCTGGCCACATAACCTTTGAGGTGTCTTTGAACAACACCAGCTCTTTGGCTTAGAAATGGAGATGAGCACCACCCCCCAGAGTTGGACATGACTAGACTTAATGTCAGGGGAAAACTTAATCCTTTACTTAGAGAAAGTACCAAGCGCTTCATTATCAGGAAAGAAAAATGTCCGGGATCTATTTTTTGCTCCCTGTTCCTCTTGGACACAAAGTTTGTCCTTGCTTTAGCTCCCGAAGGTCAGCAGTTCAAATCCGTGAGACGGGTTGAGCTCCCGTTTGTCAGCTCCAGCTTCCCATGCAGGGACATGAGAGAAGCCTCCCACAGGATTGTAAAACATCCAGGTGTCCCTTGGGCAACTTTCCTGCAGACAGCCAATTCTTTCGCAGCAGAAGCGACTTGCAGTTTGTCAAGTCGCTTTTGGCATGATTTTTAAAAGTTGCAGAAAAATTCAGTTTCTCTGGGGATCCCCTTTCTGACTTGAGAACAACAACAAAGGAAGATTGGCGAGAGAAACATCAGATTTTGAACATATCCACAAACTCCATTACACTGACAGTGGGCTTAACAGAGATAATAGTTTCCTGGGACACTACAAATATTACAACACTAAACAACTTAGCATCATGGGGGCCCTCTTAGCCAATTTATCTAATCTCTGCTTCCCAGTCAGGATTCCAGTACTCCCTCCTCCATTCATATTGCTATCCATTCATCTTGCTTTAGGCGACATCTTTCTCCCTGCTTTTGTCCCTGCGTGATCATAGCTGAAATTGAAAATGTTGCATCATCATAAGTTTTGCATTTCAATTCCTTGGCACTTAATTCCATGCACCTGAGGACATGAGTCTGCAAAAACCTATGACAGCAACTTTTTTCGCTCAGTTAGTCTCTAAAGGTCCTTCCACAAAGCCCTATATCCCAGAATATCAAGGCAGAAAATCCCACATTATCTGAGTGTGGAATCAGATAACCTAGTTCAAAGCAGATATTGTGGGATTTTTTGCCTTGATATTCTGGGTTACATGGCTGTGTGGACGGGCTCTAAGGTTCTATAAGATCCCTTGGCATATCAATATTCCAGCTATGTCTGTTGCACTCCAGAACAGAAACGATACCCTCTGACTTTAAAACACATCACACGTTGAGTGAAAAACCAATCATTTTTTATTGAAGCTGAGTAAAATAGCCAGTAGAAAGAAATGCTTGTAAAAATAGGAAAATTTCAAAATGTAAAAGATCAGTAAAATGCAGTAATTCAAAGCAATGTCCACAAAAGATATAAAAACAATCCAAGGCAATATTTATCCAGACAGGAATAAACAGGTTACAAAGATAATCCAGAAGGTGCTAGACCACAGCGATATGGTAAAAATCTCTATAAGAACAAGACCCCTTGAACAGGATTTCCATTGCACATAAACATGATTTCCAAATAATGCCTGATCTAACAGGCTTTCCCTTGAAGCAAACCTTATATCCCAAAGCCCAAAAATTGGTTTGTCCCCCCCCCCCCCCCGCTCTTGCCTCTTATCTGGCAAAGCCTTTCGGAGCGACGTAAACATTGAGTTTGTTGTCAAGCCTGGCTGAACTCTAGCCGCCTATTTTTCAACTCCCGTTCTGGCTGCTCATTAAAATTTCCAGGTGTCAGATTGTTTCCAAACTCAAATTTTGAGAGCTCACAGAAAGAGGGAGTAAGCCATCATCCTTAAGCCCAGCAGGAATATTCTCATGAGAAACTGCCCTTTGCACTGGGGCCTCTCTGTCATTGTCTGCATGAAAATCATTGACCAAACCATCTCCATCTTGCACCTCAGCACCATCATTTCCCACATCAAGAGCATCATGATCCTGAGCATCATGAAACACAAACACAGGCTGATTCCCTACAATGTCTTTGAATTCGCTGCTCATGATACTAAAAGTCTTAAAAAACCCCTCTGCTGGTTAAAAATATTAGACTTAAAAACAACAATTGTACAATGTCAATTTAATAATGCTTAGAAACTGCTGTGTCTTTTACAGATACTTAAGCTCTAGCACATGCTAACATCACGATCTGCTAACAGCACCCTGTTTCCTTATCCAGTCTCTGGCTCTTTAAAGTAACACCCAGAATATTACTATGAACAATGTCATTGTCTCGTTTTTATCATGCATGTGCTTCTCCAGGAATTATTTTGTGGTCTTCTTTTTAATCAGTCCAGGGATAAACTTCACACTCACCAACATATCAGAGATATAAATCTGGGACATAGCTACATCAAGTTGGGAAAATTATTAAATTAGGAAGAACCCTAAATTAGGAATACAGTGTTGCCTCGCTACTTTGCGGTTCGCTTTTAGTGGACTCGCTGTTTCGTGGGTTTTTGAAAATCTATATAAATAAAAATGTAATGTTCGTTTGTGGGATTAACAGAACTCAAAAACCACTAGACGAATTGACACCAAATTTGGCCACAAAACACCTACTGACCCAATGTATGTCCTCCATTCAAAAAAATTGATTTTGTCATTTGGGAGTTGGAGTTGCTGGGATTTATAGTTCACCTACAATCAAAGAGCATTCTGAATCCCCACCAACGATGGAATTGAACCAAACTTGGCACACAGTTCTCTTTGGTTTTGGAGTTGTAGTTCACCTACATCCAGAGACCACTGTGGACTCAAACAATGATGAATCTGGACCAAACTCTACACTAATACTCAATATGCCCAAATATGAATACTGGTGGAGTTTGGGGAAAATAGAATCTTGACATTTGGGAGTTGTAGTTGCTGGGATTTATAGTTCACCTACAATCACAGTGCATTCTGAACCCCACCAACGATAGAATTGGGCCAAACCTCTCACACAGAACCCCCATGACCACCAGAGTGGGCCACAGCAACACGTGGCAGGGGACGGCTAGTATTAATATAAAATATTTATGTCCAGTGGAGACCAGGGACCCTGGAAGTATGGCGGCCTGAGGTGCGGTGGGGAAGGCCTGCCTCTCTGGCCTGCTGCTGCCTGTGTGGCTCTGGAGGCTAGTTTTCTGAATCATTCCAGGAACAGATCTAAAAACCAAGACTCCCAGAAAGTTTTGTGGAGGGAGTGGGGGCTGTATAATGGGATATCTTGAAGATGAGTCCCAAATCTAACCACAAAATTAATCTGTGATTCATATAAACCTTAATTTTATTAATTAAAAATAAATTTGTGCATGTGTACACTGAGGTACCAGAAAGCAAAGATGACACCATCTCAGCCACATGTGTGTCCAGTTTTGAATTTTGGAATTCCAGGTAAGGGCTACTCAACCTGTATATATGAAATGGAATACATAGTGCCTTATGAAATATAAATATTTTTAACATTAGATGGTGCATTTGATTAAAACACCTGTTTTAAAATGGTAAACAATGAATGCACTTTAAAATACATACCACAGATTGAGAGAGCACAGCCAGTTCCACATCACTCCACCCTGGGAAGAGCGATCCTATCTCGGGAAGGTGTTCCAAAGCCTTGTAGCCACCAACAGACTTTCATTTTCCATTTTGTAACCACATCTGTCTAACCTGCACAGATTTGACTTTGATGTTTTCTTCCCTTCTCTTTCAATTCTATGATCTCATTAATTCTCATAAGCTTATATCTTGTTCCAGAACTGGGTGTAGTTTGAGACCTCTCCAAGAGTTCTTTTTCTTTTTTTGGTGCCAAACAGTGATCTGTTACTGCTATAGCATAAGCCGTGTTGGTAAAAATGATGCCACAGATGGTACACAGCAGAGCAGCATTCTGATCTTTTCAGTGATAGGATGCAGCACCACTCAGAGCCAATGATAAAACTCCCTGGTTGGTTCTCAACCTCGATATCTTTTCCTGGCCGAAAACTGCACAGCGAATGCAAAAAATATCCAGTAAGGTCGTCAAGTTAACTCTTTCATCCCATTTACATTTGGCTGTGATGCGAAGAGCAACTCAAATCCATCTGCCTGGTGGCAGAGGGTCATCTTAAATAATCTAAATTGGCAGAAAGGGACTTTCAAGATGCTCCTGTTTTCCGCAGGGAGAATCTACAGGAATGTTCCTGTATTTTTGCAATTTGCTATCTTCTAGTTACTGGTTGTTTTCTTGTATATCACCTTAAGTTATGGTGTAATGTTAAGTTATTATTGTATTGCAAAAATGAGAAGGTAAGCAAAATGATAAATACGATTTATGTTTAAAGTGTGGTTTTATTATTGTAGTTGTAAGGCATTGAAATTTTGCCATTATCCATGTGTAAACCGTTTTGAGTCCCCCTAGGGGTGAGAAAAGTGGTATATAAATATTGTAAATAAATAAATAAATACAATTATTAAATCCAGAGAAAATTCCATGATATTGAGGGAGACATAGTTTTAAAAGGGATTTTTCAGGGATGCTTCCAATGACAATAAGTCGCACTTGTCCTGATTTATTGCCATATATGTGTCTGCTTTTGCAGAGGGCCTTTGTTTGGTTTCCAAATTGGAAATTTTGTCATTGTTGATCCAGTCATTTTCTCGTGGTACTACATTGCTTGAAGTAACTTCTTATTTATGCCAATCATAAGGCAAAAACAATCACGGAGTTTTCTCAGCAAGATTTGTTCGGAGAGGATTTGCCTTTGCCTTCTTCTAGGGCCAAAGGGGTGTGATTTGCCCAGGGTCACTAAGGGCCCCTTCAACATTGCCATATAAAATCCAGATTATCTGCTTTGAACTGGATTATATGACAGTGTAGACTCATATAATCCAGTTCAAACCTGCCCTGAGTCCTCTAGGGGGGCAGGCGGGATATAAATAAACTTATTATTATTATTATTATTATTATTATTATTATTATTATTATTATTATTATTATGTGAATTGTCTGGTGCCATCTGTGAAGAGAAACAGCAAAATACTCCTCAATAATGAGGTTAACTCATTTTAATCTGGATTATATGGCAGTATAGAAGGGACCTCGGAGGGATTTTCATGGCTGAGCAGGGATTCAAACTCTGGTCTTAGCTCCACACTCAAACCATTCGCTCTTACAAGTAACCTGTTTTATCCATCTGAAAGGTTCCTGGGAGACAAAGCAAAGTCAACCCAAAATTATTACCAATACCCACGTATAGAGATAAGCACTCCAAAGTATACTGGATATCCAAGAAAGAAATTTACATTTTCTGAACACCATTGCCATTTCTGTTATATTCAGGTATGAGATGCAGTTGCCAAATTGATATCTGAAGCAATTCATAGTTCTAAAAGACACTGCTTAATGAAAAAAAAAGGAAGCAATCTAAAGGGGGAACGATTCTCTGTTTTAGCAGCTTGAAATAACTCGAGTCACATGAAATAATAAAAATATAGTCACGCAATGGAAAACATTTATGATAATGCAAACTGTAACTTGTTAAATCTGTCCATCTAGGATTTGCCAGTTTCTGGCGTGGCAATCTTGCCAATGTTATCCGATATTTCCCAACTCAGGCCCTAAACTTCGCTTTTAAGGACAAATACAAGCAGATTTTCATGTCTGGAGTGGATAAAGAAAAACAAGTAAGTCTGGTTTAATATCAAATTTACTAAAAACAGATGTATATAGTTGTCTCAAACCCTTTTGTTTCGTCCAGTCTTGCAGAAATGAATACTTTGGAGAATTTTTTATTATTATTATTTCAGACTCACACTTATGAAAGCTTATCAAATAATGTGGTGTCTTGAATTTGCTCCCACTGATGGAAGAGTTTCATACATGGAAAAAGGAGAGTTAGCTTTAATTGATTTTCCTTCTCTGTATTGACCTTCCTTTCTTCAACTCTCAAAACTATTCCTGAATACTGTATGTATACCCTAACTCCTGACAGTTGAACCCAAGGCCTCATCAGACCCGGTCTTCTATGCGTCTTTGCTTCGTTTTCAGGCACTGGCAAAACGGAGTCCCACAGAGGCCATCCCAAGCTGCCCAAGGGAATTTGTGTTGCCAGTACCTGAAACCTGAGAGAAGACTCCATTTTCAGGAGTCGGTACTACCTAACTCCTAATTGGAGAACACAGGGAAAGAACAGCAGATGACAAAAGAGGACGTGGGATGGTTGGCGATCCAAGAACATAGGGAAAGTCAGTATGGAACGCTTTCCCTCGCATTCCCCTGCCTGTCTGATGAGGTCCCCAGTCTTCCCATTCTGTTTTAAGGTACAGACTAAATTAAAATTTAACATACTTTACTTTAAGATGCAAAGCTAATTAAGGAGAGAGTTGAAATTAGACCATTTTAATTTTAATTTTTTTGGAATGTCCGCCCAGTCTTCTTTATCTGGTGCCACTGTCAAGAGAAACACTGAAATTCTTCTCAATAATGAGAGCAACTCACCTTAAGCATATCTTTTGTCTAATTAATAGGGCCTGCTCAGCTTCTTTGTCCCATCACATGGGGTGCATGGATGAGCAGAACTAGTTTGGAAATGATTCTCCACTTAATAGTACTAGTGGTACTGATTGTTGCTTCCTCAGTAGCACCTTTTCAGAGTGTAAATGTGGTTCAGTGGTGATCACACATTTATTTGAGACTAATGTTGCAGCCAATTAAGAGTGCTTCCAGACAGGCATTTATTCCGGGAACATTCGCATTAAAAAAACCACGAATGTCCTGGGGTTCCATCCACACACACCCCAGAAAGTGCATTCTTTCTGGGGTGAGTGTCCAGATATTATCCCAGAACCACACCAGAAGCGACTTGCAGTTTCTCAAGTCGTTCCTGACACGACAAAAAAAAATAATAATCCCAGAACATTCCAGGAAAACACCTGGACACTCTAACTCCCTCCCCAAAAGCCTAGAAATGATGTGCCAGGAGAAAGGGAGGGGGAGGAGCGATTTTCCTCCTCTCCTCCCTTTCTCCTGGTGCATCATTTCTATATGCCAGGAGAGCTCCGGCACCACTCAAATGGACGCTGGGTAAGTTATTTTGGTTTTTTTTTAAAGAGTTTTGGAAGGCTTTTGGGGGAGAGGATTGATGCTCTCATGGTTTTCTGTGCTAATTTAGCCCCCATAACCATGGGACTACTGTCTGGACTGCTCCCTCAAAATTCCAGAACTTTAGAGGGAGCAGTCCAGACAGCGGAAGTAGTGGGTTTATCCCACGCCTTCCAAGAAGGTGTAGAATAAACCCACTAACAAATTTATTCACCACAAACCAGGGTTTTCCTGGTTTATGGCAAATTAATAAATGTTTCTCGGGGATGTCATCTGGACAGCTCCCTTTTTAATTGCGGGGACTCCCGCGTTAACGGGGCTGTCAGGATGAGCCCTCAGATTTTCATTTTTGCACTTGAAATTTCTCTAACCTGGATGGTCCTTCATATATTGTTGAACTATACCTCCCATCATCCGTAATCAGCATGCCCAAGAGTAGAGAAAATTACATACCCCTTCTCTTACAAACATCTTGAAAAATGCCTGTGTTTTAATCAGGTTTTTCTATAATAATAATAATAATAATAATAATAATAATAATAATAATAATAATAATGTTTATTTATTTTCCACTCTATCTCCCCAAGTGGGCTTAGAGCGGATTACAGATACATATATGGCAAATGTTCAATGCCGTTATACAACTGACAGAGACAGACAGCACATAATCAGAGGCAAGGCTTTCCTCTTTTCATGTCTCTACCCCCGCCCAAAAAGTTGTGCACAATAAATCAGTGTAAAAAATGCAAAAATCTCTGGAAATAAAAAAACCCCATATTTGAATGTAAATTGTTAATTGCTATTACCAACAGATGGAATATCCTCCAAAATGAAAGGCAAAAAAGTCTCTGTTCGAAATTTAAGCTTAACTAATCATATCTGAGTATAGAATTTGGGTTGAGAATAGTTTTCATGCACCTTTGTAGGTATTTGTTTTACACACAATCCAATTGGCTCCATAAGAATCAATAGAAATGAGAATAACCTATTCCAATCATATATACCATATATACTTGTGTATAAACGGACCTGAATATAAGCTGAGGCACCTAATTTTGCCACAAAAAACTGTGAAAATGTATTGACTCAAGTATAAGCCGAGGGTGGGAAATGCAGTAGCTAAAGGTAAATTTTAAAATAAAAATAGTTTCCAATGAAATTACATTAATCAAGGCATCAGTAGGTTAAATGTTTTTGAATATTTACATAAAACTGACATTTAAGATAAGATTGTCCAACTCTGGTTAATCCATTATTCTAACCTTCTTTGATGAAAATGTGCTTACGTATCCTTCCAATAATAATAGAGTAAAATAATAAATGTAATAAAATAATGGAAATGTGATAATAACAGTAATAATAGAGTAAAATAATGAATTTAAAATAATAATAATAATAACAACAACAACAACAACAGAGTAAAATAATAAATAAGTTTGACTCTAGTATAAGCCAAGGAGGGATTTCAGCCTTAAAAAGGGGCTGAAAAAATCAGCTTATACTCGAGTATGTACAGTAATTTAAAAAAAATCAAATTCCAAACCCTTAAATCTGAATGTTGCCTGCCGGATATTGAAGGTTATTTGCTTATGTTTACATTTGATCATTTAGAAAGTTTAGAAAACATGGTGATTTTCAAACCTACATGATGTTCCTTTTTTGTTTTGTTTTGTTTGGTTTTTTTTTTATATTTATTAGGAAGGTTTGGGAAGTGATGTTGAACTCTGTTTTTGAATTGATCGCAGTGTTTTCATTTCAGTTTGGACGGTGGTTCATTTCAAATCTGGCTTCTGGTGGAGCAGCTGGGGCAACATCATTGTGTGTAGTGTATCCATTAGATTTTGCACGAACTCGATTAGGTGCTGACATAGGAAAAGGTAAGGACATTGGCGTAATACTATTTTCCAAGTATGCCCAGACTTGCAGTTAGTTGGTTAGCGGGAGGGTGGTTGTGTGTGCTTCCTCTGTTACTGGCTGTCACATTTGGAAAAGGTGAAGTACGTATTTTGGCATTGACTTTTGGACAAGACAAGTGCTGGATCCTTGCAGGGTGACATAATGCAGTTCTACATAGACACTTTTATCCTGGGCAAGTCTGGATCAGCCCCAGGATAGTTCTTTTCACAAGCCTCCAGGCCGCTGCAAACGCCGGGGCAAAAAAGGCCTTAGCATCTCCCTCCTGTTTCTGTTGTAGCACAAGCCATTGCTTATCACTTGGAGTGACGTCAACTGGAGCATCAGAGCAATGTCATAGAGGGGGGAGAGGAGGAATCATACACATTCCTTGTTCAATCACTCTTGCGCTCTTACCTATGTCACTCCAAATGACAAACAAGGGCCAGCAGCCATTTTGTGTGCAGTGGCTGCTGCTACAGCAAGAACAGGAGGAGAATGGAAAATGCCATCCCATGTCCCTAAGCCATTCAGACCTGGGGAATATGGAATGGCCATGGGAACAGTTGTGGCCTAGGAAACCCACAGTACAGCTCTTTTACCTCTACACCTCCCAAACATGTAATATTCCATAACACAGTACTCTAAATCTGTGCTAGAACCAGAGTGAAGGAGATGAGCCAGGAAGACAGAGTTCCACCATGTCTCCTGGGTTATCATTTGGGAGCTCCTCCACCCCAACACCAACTGACTCTCCGGAGCCAGAGTGAAGAAGAGGAGCCAGGAAGACAGAGCTCCACCATGTCTCCTGGGTCATCGATTGGGAGCTCCTCCACCCCAGCACCAACTGACTCTCCGGAGCCAGAGTGAAGAAGAGGAGCCAGGAAGACAGAGCTCCACCATGCCTCCTGGGTTATCATTTGGGAGCTCCTCCACCCCAGCACCAACTGACTCTCCGGAGCCAGAGTGAAGAAGAGGAGCCAGGAAGACAGAGTTCCACCATGTCTCCTGGGTCATCGATTGGGAGCTCCTCCACCCCAGCACCAACTGACTCTCCGGAGCTAGAGTGAACAAGAGAAGCCAGGAAGACAGAGTTCCACCATGTCAGTTAGGGACCCCCTCTCCCCAGCAATAATCCTAGTATTGTACTGTCCTGATATTATAATATATTGTATACACATATAATATTGATATTGATATTATAATGTAATACACTATAATACTAATAATAATGCAATGTCATAATTACATATTTTATATTACATGTACTATTACTAATAATATTACAGTATAGTGAGATATATATATATATATATATCAATATATAATTCTAATATTGTGCTATGCTAATAATATAATATATTGTATGTACATATAACTTGTAAGCCATTCTGAGTCCCCTTCAGGATGAGAAGAGTGACATGTAAATGTCATAAATAAATAAATAAAATCTGCAAGTTCCACATAAGAGCCACTGGTATACTTGAGTGGCTGACAATTGGAACTACCCCTTCCTGTTAGCTGTTTTTATTTTTTTCTCAATCTGTCACAAATATCAATTTTCTCATTCTTCTTCAGAAGCTTAACTTCACACCCTTTCCTTCCAGGTCCAGCAGAGCGACAATTTACAGGCCTTTTGGATTGTATTGGTAAAATTGCAAAGAAGGATGGAATTATTGGCCTGTACCAAGGATTTAGTGTTTCAGTACAAGGAATCATTGTGTATCGAGCATCCTATTTTGGATGTTACGACACCATAAAAGTAAGTTTCCTGATTTCACATGTCACTTTTACAGTGTATTTATAGTATTTATCATTTCTTAAAACATGCCTATTAGTGATGGCATTAATTCTGCACCATAGACCAACAATTGGCATCTTGGCATTAAACTCAATTGATTCTTATTCATAGTCACAACAGCGGTGATACCAGCTTTATATGAGATAGATTAGTCCTTACTTTGATGTTACACCGCCTGTCACCACTGGTCACATTGTGGCCAGTATTTGACGCATTGCCATTGGTAAACCTAGACATTCCTGTTCCTGTGATGCTTCTCTTTAGCTCCCAAAATAGTCAGCCACTTCATGCCTGTGGAGGAGGTTTTTTTTAATCATGTCAGAAACAAGCAGAGGGTACAGTTGTAATGTATTTAAAAACACAAAGTTTAAAACTTGGCATAATACTAAATGTCCTTTGACCGGAAGCTGGCCACTTGAAGTACCTCTGGTGTCTCTGTAAGAAGGTCCTCCATTGTGCATGTGGCAGGGCTCAGGTTGCATTGTAATAGGTGGTCTGTGATTTGCTCTTTTCCACACTCGCATGTCATGGTCTCCACTTTGTAGCCCCATTTCTGAAGATGGGCTCTGCACCTCATGGTGCCAGAGCACAGTCTGTTCAGCGCCTTCCAAGTTACCCAGTCTTCTGTGTGCCAGGGGGTAGGGGGGCTCTAATTGGTATCAGCCACTGATTGAGGTTCCAGGTTTTAGCCTACCAGTTTTGGACTCTCACTTGCTGAGGTGTTACTACAAGTATCTCTGTAGATCTTCAGAACTCAAGATATTTGTCTGTTCTTAAAGTAAAAGCACACATTTTAGATGGATTAGGAATCAGCTGGTTTTCCCTGTAATAGGCAGTAAGATCACCTAAAGCTTCTGAGAGCTTCTGTTCAACCGTTTCAAAGATGGGTTGTTGTAGGTTTTTTGGGCTATGTGCAGAGTCAAGCTCAGCACTTGTGATGAGCAGCTTTTGCTTTTCTGGAAACCAGCTTGCTGTGGAATCATACATGAGTGTATTTTTTCCCCGTCATTCTATGCAAAATAAGTCTTTCCAGAAGCAACTTGCAGCACTTGTGGAGGGAGTGACCTGTGGGAAAGGGTCGCTCTATAACTCTGTTACTTATAATACTGTCCACTGGCTTCAAAAAGAATATGGTTAGAGAAGTATGCTACCAAGTGACTGAAGGTGATATGACAAGCTTCAAACAAATTGATTAAGATATTTAAACAAAACAAAACCTTGAATCATATGCTTTGAGTCTATTTAGTATACTTGCCAAGTCTGAGGTTCCTAAGATTCATGTTCTGGTACCTATGAGTCTGACAGACTCAAACTTCCTGTTACTTTACATGATTCTTTGACACCTTCAAAAGGAAGAAATCCTTTAAATTACACTGAAAATGTGAAATTATTCATTATTCTCATTTCTGCTTTCCTTTCTTAGGGAATGCTGCCAAATCCAAAAGAAACACCATTCATTGTCGCTTTTGCAATTGCTCAAGTTGTTACTATATTTTCTGGGATCCTATCATATCCCTTTGACACTGTGAGAAGACGCATGATGATGCAGGTAAACAACATATTTAGCAAGCATTGCTTTGTTTAAGATTTAGTATATATTGCCACTTATTCTTTCTTGATGCTGTTTATCCTATCAAAGTTGTCTCCTTCTGTGCTTTTCCCCAAAACAAATGAACCACATTGTTTTATAGCAGATACAGAACACCATATCTAAAAAAAGGTGGGGGATCCCTGGGTTTAGGAACATTCGTGAGTGTATTTTATTGAATTTCTGTCTCTTAGATAGATGGCAGATAGAGAGATAGATACTTCAGCTGAAAATCCTGCATTAAACAGGGGCTTGGACTACAAAGTCTATGAGGCATCTTCCAATTCTATGAGTCTATGCTTTATAACTCTGCCTACTGTTGCTTTTGGCATTTTTTAGGTTTTCTGAGAGGAAAGCTGTGATAGTTCTTTTACGTAAAGAGGAGAGAGACAAGGCTCAAGTGAAGAATTATAAACCAATGTCATTGGTCAATAAACTTTAGCAACAGGTTGAAACAAATTTTAGCAAAAATAATGCATAGGAATCAAGCAGGCTTCCTCCCAGGTAGATATCTGAACCAAAATGTGAGAATGGCAATAGATATAATTAAGTACACTGAACAAAACCCAAGCAGAGAGATTGTGTTACTGTTCTTAGATGCAGAAAAAACATTTGATAATATGCAATGGGACTATATGATTAAACTACTGAACCATTTTGGAGTGGGTCAACACTTTAAAAATTCCATAGGAGCTATCTATTCAAGACAAAGGGCCAAATTAAAAATAAATGACCAAATGTCAAATTATATAAAAATTCAAAAAGGTACAGGCTGTCCCCTGTCACTGCTACTGTTTATTTGGATATTAGAAATTTTGAACAGCAGAATTAGAAAAGCTAGTGAAGTTAATGGAGTTAAAGGCTGGTCTGAGTCCCTCTACGGAGGTTGAGAAGATCGGGATAGAAAAGTTTTAAATAAACAAACAAATAAATAAATAAATAAAGGGTATGCATTTAAAGGGAAGGCGTATGCAGATGGTTTGGTCTGTTTCTTAAGGGACCCTTTAAAAAGAACACAAACTATATTGGAGATTATCGCCAAATTTAGCATTGTGTCGGGCTTTGAAATCAATAAGGAGAAATCGGTATTTCTAACTTTGTGTGTGTGTGTGTGTGTCAGGAGCAACTTGAGAAACTGCAAGTCCTGGTGTGAGAGAATTGGCCGTCTGCAAGGATGTTGCCCAGGGGATGTTTTGATGTTTTACCATCCTTGTGGGAGGCTTCTCTCGTGTCCCCGCATGGAGAGCTGGAGGTGACAGAGGGAGCTCATCCGCACCCTCCCCAGATTCGATCCTCCGACCTGTTGGTGGTTCGTAGAGGGAGATACATTCGGACAGGTAAACTGGGCCAGAACCATTTAGGGCTTTATAGGCTAAAGCCATCACTATGAATTGTGCTCAGTAGCAGACTGGAAGGCAGTGGAGCTGACATAACAGGGGGGTTGTATGCTCCCTCTACACCACTCCGGTAAGCAACCTGGTTGCCGTCCGTTGGCCTAACGGAACCTTCTGAGCAGTCTTCAAAGTCAACCCCACATAGAGTGCGTTGCAGTAATCTATTTGGGATGTAACAAGAACCTGGACAACTGTGGCCAAGTCAGACTTCCCAAGATATGGGCGAAGCTGGCGCACAAGTTTTAGTTGTGCAAAAGCTCCCCTGGTCACCACTGAGACCTGGGGTTCCAGGCTCAGTGATAAGTCCAGAACTCCCAAGCTGCGAACCTTCAGGGGGAGTGTAACCCCATCCAGCACAGGCTTATTATCCAGTTTAATCCAGTCCTTTAGCCAACTAAAATTTGAAGCTTCATAGCAATATCTGCCAGGGCCCCTCTGCCTTTCCCATAAATAAAGTTCCTGTAGGCAATTCTGGCTCTTTTGCCTTTCCAAATTAATTTGCCCAGCTCTCTCTTTCATTTTTAAACACCTTTACTCCCTTAATAATTGGCAAATTTTAAAACAGAAGCAACATTTTGGGTAATACCATCATTTTTATCACTGCAATTCTCCCTAATCAGGTAATTTGAACTCTGCCAATTTTCAAGATCTCCTTCCATCTGTCCCTTCTGTCTATTGCTTCAACTGGAATTCCTCTCTTATCTGAGGGCCACAGCAATGCGTGGCAGGGTACAGCTAGTTTTTAATATTTTACTAATCTTCCCTTTAAAGATATTGACCAGGAGATATGTTTATTTGATTTATTTAAATTGTGTTTAGAAAATCACGAAACTTTCTTGGTATTTTGTTTACTGAAACTGGAATACCTCCGTGTGACATTTGAGCGTGACACAAAGCCTGAGAAAGCCACATTCTGCATTTTTGCAAAAATCTAGATTTCCCAAGTTTGGTATGTGTTCATGTTGAAAACGGTCAGTGTGAAAATTAGCAAAACCTTGCTGAAGAACAATGTTCTAAAAACATTCGGCAGACATTGTCCAAGAACAGCTTGCTTCAGAAATGCCCAGAGGAAAGAAGTGACCTCATTTAACTCTGAAGCTTAAAGAAGCATCACAAGAAGATCATGGGCTTGCTAAATTTATCTGCAGAGGGCTAAGTAGGGAAGCTACTCATTAAGGTTCTTATATCTAAAGAGGCAAAATTATTGATAGGTATTTCTAGATTTATTATTACAATGCCTCACACTACAGAATAAATGCCATGTATTGTATTGTGAGTGTATTTGAGCCAGTGTATCTACTTTTTTTTTTTTTTTTGCACACAGAGTGGTGAGACTGAACGTCAGTACAAAGGAACTATCGACTGCTTTGTCAAGATCTATGGCCAGGAAGGAATAAATGCTTTCTTTCGAGGAGCCTTCTCAAATGTTCTTCGTGGGACAGGAGGTGCCCTCGTATTAGTCCTGTATGACAAAATAAAAGAGTTTCTTAATATTGATCCCTCATTAGGCGGAGGGTCTGATTAGATCCACCAATGTACCTGTATCTCACCCAGAGAGAGAATTCTTGCTCTTCTGAATACATTCATTATTAGACCATAGATGATGGGAATAGTTAGGTTTTTTGCATGGCTCTGTTAATTCTGTATGTAGTCTACATGATTTATTTCCTTTCATTAAAAGTTGTGTTCACTTGTTTTATAATTTGTTTGTTGTTTTTATATGCCACGTTTTCTTATTCCACACTCTTCCATTTGTCATTTCTTTTCATTACCCAATCAAAATCAATATTGTCGCTGTGTTGTCGAAGGCTTTCATGGCCGGAATCACTGGGTTGCTCTGAGTTTTCCGGGCTGTATGGCAATGTTCCAGAAGCATTCCCTCCTGACGTTTCACCCACATCTATGGCAGACATTCTCAGAGGTTGTGAGATATGTTGGAAACGAGGCAAGTGAGGTTTATATATCTGTAGAAAGTCCAGGATTGGAGAAAGAACTCTTGTCTGTATGTGGCAAGTGTGAATGTTGCAATTGATAACCTTGATTAACACTGAATAGTCTTGCAGCCTCAATGCTTGGTTGCTCCCAGCCTGGGGAAATCCTTTGTTGGGATGTGATTAGCTGCCCCTGATTGTTTCTTGTCTGGAATTAGAATCATAGAGTTGGAAGAGACCTCATGGGCCATCCAGTCCAATCCCTTGCCAAGAAGCAGGAATATTGCATTCAAACCACCCCTGAAAGGTGGCCATCTAGCCTCTATTCAAAAACCTCCAAAGAAGGAGCCTCCACCACACTCCCGGGCAGAGAGTTCCACTGCTGAACGGCTCTCACAGTCAGGAAGTTCTTCCTCATGTTCAGATGGAATCTCCTTTCCCCTGTTTTTGACTGTTTTTCTTTATTTACTTTCCTTATTTTAGAGGTTTTTAATACTGGTAGCCAGATTTTGTTCATTTTTATGGTTTTCCTGGTTTCAGGGGAATTCCAGGCATGAAACAATCAGGGCCAGCTAATCACCTCCCAGCATAGGATTACCCCAGGGAGGAAGCGGCCAAGCTTTGAACTGCAAGGCTATTCAATGCTAATCAAGGTGTTCATTTGCAACATTCACACTTTCCTCAAACAGAAAAAGAATTCTTTCTCCCACCCTGGACATTTCACAGATATATAAACCCCACTTGCCAAGTTTCCAACAGACCTCACAACCTCTGAGGATGCCTGCCATAGATGTGGATGAAATGTCAGGAGAGAGTGTTTCTGGTACATGGCCATACAGCCCGGAAAACTTACAGCAACCCAATAATGTCGCTATTTCATGCCACAGGCAAGACCACTAAGATTATTGCATAACATTTGTCAAAAAGCTAGGATTGCAATTCCCTTTGTTAAAGAAAACAGAGAAAAGAGGCCTAACCAGACAAGATAATACACTGCTATTAAATTTGGCAACACATTGTCTTATTCGTACTGATGAAATGTTTGGTTGTGAATGTAGCTGTGCTGCAGAATGGTAATAATATGGAATTGCCTGATACCTCCATTTTCCTTTGTTTAATTTTTTTACCAATGCTGTTGAAGAGAAAGGTATTGTTGGGGAAAGTGAAGTATGGGGACCAGTTAATCATTTGGAAGTCTACTGGGATGGTGCCTTTTTAAAGTGGCTTTGAAAGAAAACAACTTCTTAATGGGATTCAGGAACTTCAAACTATCATGGCTAACAAAGATGGTAATTAGGTTCTTGTGGGTTTTTTCGGGCTATAGAGCCATGTTCTAGAGGCATTTCTCCTGACGTTTCGCCTGCATCTATGGCAAGCATCCTCAGAGGTTGAGGTCTGTTGGAAGTAGGAAAAATGGGTTTATATATCTGTGGAATGGCTGGGGTGGGGCAAGGAGCTCTTCCCTGCTGCAGTTAGGTGTAAATGTTTAGCTGATCACCTTCATTAGCATTTGAAGGCCTGCCTGAGTCTGGGAAAATCTGTTGCTGGGAGGTGTTAATCTGTGCCTGGTTTTTTCCTCTCTGTTGTTTAGCTGTTATAATTTTTGAGTTTTTTAATACTCCAGGCCAATGGATACTCCACCTCAGACATCAGAAGAGCTGCAAGACCACGAACAAGCCACGAGAGTAAAGATGAAGATCCACCCAGAGGAAAAGTGTTCCTGCCATACATCAAGGGAACCACTGATCGCATAGGGAAGCTGATGAGGAAACACAACATACAAACAATCTACAAACCCACCAAGAAAATCCAACAAATGCTACGTTCAGCAAAGGACAAGAGGGATCCTCTTACCTCTGCAGGAGTCTACCGTATACCATGCAGCTGTGGACAAGTCTACATAGGGACCACCAAACGCAGCGCCCAAACACGAATCAAGGAACATGAAAGGCACTGCAGACTACTTCAACCAGAGAAGTCAGCCATAGCAGAGCACCTGATGAACCAGCCTGGACAACAGCATATTATTTGAGAACACAGAAATGCTGGACCACACCAACAACCACCATGTCAGACTACACAGAGAAGCCATTGAAATCCACAAGCATGTGGACAATTTCAACAGAAAGGAAGAGACCATGAAAATGAACAAATCTGGCTACCAGTATTAAAAAACTCTAAAATTATAACAGCTAAACAACAGAGAGGAAAAAACCAGGCACAGATTAACACTCCCAGCAACAGATTTTCCCAGACTCAGGCAGGCCTTCAAATGCTAATGAAGGTGATCAGCTAAACATTCACACCTAACTGCAGCAGGGAAGCGCCTTGCCCCACCCCAGCCATTCCACAGATATATAAACCCTTTTTCCTAATTCCAACAGAACCTCTCAACCTCTGAGGATGCTTGCCATAGATGCAGGCGAAACGTCAGGAGAAATGCCTCTAGAACATGGCTCTATAGCCCGAAAAAACCCACAAGAACCTAGTGATTCCAGCCATGAAAGCCTTCGACAATACAAAGATGGTAATTCTCAAGCCTTTTATTCTACAATGAACCTTTTAAAAACTCAATGGGACTATTTTGGTGTAAATTACAGAAATGAGGAGAAGTTAATAACAGTCATTAGACAGAGCCTATTGTATTTCCTACACAGCTTGTTTGCTTATGTGTTTATTTACAGACTTTCTGTCCAGATGGCTTCAAGTTGCTTAAGATATGAAGCACTGAAGGACAATAAAAGCAGCAAAAATAGGAAACGGCAAATTAAAAGTGCAGATAAAGCATCAGATAAAAGCAGAAAGTGAAATTAAAAGAAAATGGCAATTATCTCCACTACCATTAAAGCCATTACAGACAAAGCAAACAGAACAGACTTCATCTGTTCAGATTCTGGAGGAACTGCCAGAAAGATCTGTTTGGGAAGGGGGTTCAATTAATTTAAACAGCATCTTGGAGAAATCACTCTATCATGGGGAAGAGAGCCAAAGGAAAATCTTAGTTCAGTTGTTCTTAACCCTTCTTTTATCAGGAACTCTCTTCAAACATCTTTAGTTGCTCTGAACTCAAGATTTAAAACCCTAAGGTACTTTTATTTCAAGGTGCTCATCAGGAGTCTTCATTTGAAGAGAGGGAAGAGAGAAGTAAATGCAAACACTCCTAGAATAATATTTTTATTGAAATTATTCCATACAAATTTAATAATAACAGTAACAATCTGGGTTGAGTATGGGTTTCTGTGAGTTTTCTGGGTTGAGTATTCTTATCCAACAGGTTTGGAAACGTTTCAAGTTTTATACCTATGTTTACCTATGGTCTGTAGTCAACTGGTCCCTGGTCAAAGTGGTCCCTGGTCAAGTGGTACCTGTTCAAGTGGCCCCTTGTCAAAACGGTCCCTGGTAAAAATGCCCCTGGTCAAAGTGATCACTGGTCAATTGGTCCCTGGTCAAAATGGTCCCTGATCAAAGTGGTCTCTGGTTAAGTGGTCCCTGGTCAAAGTGGTTCCTGGTCAAGTGGTACCTGTTCAAGTGGTCCCTGGTAAAAATATAAAAATGTCCCTGGTCAAAGTGGTTCCTGCTCAAAGTGGTCCCTGGTAAAAATGTTCCTGGTCAAAGTGGTCCATAGTCAAGTGGTCCCTGGTCGAAGTAGTCCCTGGTCAAAGTGGTCCCTGGTCAAAGTGGTCTCTGGTCAAGTGGTCCCTGGTCAAGTAGTCCCTGGTCAAAGTGGTCCCTAGCCAATTGGTCCCTGGTCAAAGTAGTTCCTGATCAAGTCCCTGGTCAAGTTGTCCTTGTTCAAAAACAGGTTGGGAACCACTGATTTAGGGGAAAGTAACATCTTTCAACAATTATGGATATAAAGTCATGTAAGATAGCACAAGTGACTTCAAGCATCATAGATTGTGTTCAAGTGGAAAATGCATTCCAGATTTGACCAAGGATCTTCATTCAATGTTTTTTAAAAATCCCAACATTCAATGAAAATATACACTTGACATGACAGGTTGCCTTGTTCACCAGATGTGAGAAAAAGCTATATAATCATGTCCCAAAGTGAATGGCTGATTTCTAAAACCTCTGCTACCTAAAAATGGAAAATTAATGAACGAGAAAACCTGCTTTTCACTCAACAGATGGCACGTGTGTAAAACATCCTACTATGTTAACCAGCAAGCTTGCAGGGGAATGTTTTCCATATGCATCCCTTTCATTCTTACAGAGTGAAACACCTGTGGTGGTAATAGATGCTCAGTTGACTTATCCTGAAATCATGTTTGAGAAAGAACAGAACAACAGGATCATTTCAATATGCCAAGTTTCCATTCATCTTTCCATGTTAAGGAAACCAAAAAGAGGTCTCAGGAGCCTAGGATTTTCAATTATTTCTCCTTGAAATCTGGACCATTCTTTCCTGTTTTATACCCTGGAAATTTGTGTCATTAAAAAAAAAAGATGTGGGAAATTCTGTGAAGGAAGGATCCGTTGGAGGCAACTTCAGGTTCTTTTTTTCTCCTCCGCCTGCTTTGAAAAGGTTCCCACCACTCTTTGTGTGTTGTCCTTGAATGTTTCACTTTACATAAACTATACTATCAGCACAGTACACGTCTGGGACCTTATTGAGAAGATTATGCAATATTCCGGCCAACATTAAGGGCACAAGGTCTAGAAATTCAGCCTTGCGGTTACTACAGCAACACAGCAAAACTTGTTTTGCTTGGGAATGC